TTGTTTCCTGCAATTAAGAATTCCTCATATCAGTGAGATCATATGATACATGTCTTTCTCTTTTTGACTTATTTCACTCAACATGATATCCTCCAGTTCCATCCACGTCGTTGCAAATGACAAGATCTCATTCCTTTTGATGGCTGCATAATATTCCATTGTATATATATACCACATCTTCTTTATCAATGAGTTGGTTTCTTAACATCAGCCAAACTTTGTCACTTCATTTGTTTAAAGTATCATAATGAACTTATGGATGCTTAAATATATTCTTTATTTCATGCATTTTCTTATCAATGTTTAAATTGTCCCATTTTGGCCAGTGGGAACCTCTTCACGTTGGACTTATGAGTCCTTCAACCATTATCAACAGCTTATTTTCTGGTATGACAAGATGTTCTAGGCTCATCTTGTGTATTTCTGTCCCTAAATCTAGAATTAGGCGTTTTTCCAAGGAACTTTTATGGGAAATGGTATTGTTTAGAGACCATAACCTGTATGTGAGGGGTGCTTATTGCTGCTGGATTGATTGTCGCCCCCTCCTTCCTTCCTCCCTCCTCCTCCTCCCACCTTTCCTCCTTTTCTTTCTTTTTAAAGAGAAACTAAATAATGAGTTCTTACTGACCCTTATTTGTTTTGTCTTTCTATATAAATTTATATATAAGTAATAGTATTTCAGAATAACAATATAAATCATTATTATTAAAGCATGATTATCAAAAACAGTTTAACTTTATCTTTCACCTTTTCATCTTTAGAGTATATGCCACTAGGGATGTACAGTCAAACTATTGGTTTTTAGCCAATTCTTTTCTGTAGAATCTACCAACTTCCTAGGTAGTTAAATTTATTTGCTTCATTTTGCTTTAGAGTTGTAGTGTAGATATCTTAAATTTTATTTAATTTTGTTTTAAGGTCATGTAAAACAATGTGTATTCAGAGAAGTTTGGCCTCCATTGCTGTCTTCCTCTCCTCTGTAAGTAATTTTAAAAAAACTTCATTGCTTATCTTTCTGTTTTTTTATAGCAGCAAGTATACATAGATATTGGTGTCTCCCCCACCTCCACTTTTTTAGATAAATGTTTGCTTAATATACACATTTTCCTCCACTTTTTTAAAAAAACAATGTTATACCATTTATCTCAGCAGTCACTCCTTAGCAGCATACACACACATATTTCTCATCCCCTTGAAAGCTGCAGAGTTTATTCAACCAGTCCCCAAATGATGGCCATTTGATGGTTTCCTGTCTCACTTGAAGGTCTGTCCATATGTTGGTCAAAATCTAAAGACATTTATGTAGGGGGAGAAGTCCCATTCCAGCAAAGGGGTAAAATTAGGTGAAATGTATTCTACAATTTGGGTTAACCTCCTATTTATTATAGTCTCTGTAAGATAAGAGAATCTTTCTGCTCAGTCGTGGGCTTTGGGAAGTAATAGGAGAATCAGAGTCATGTGGTTTTTAACTATCCAGGTGGTTCCTAATAATGGAGATACAAATTGGTGTAGTTCTCCTACCTTAACTTTTCACATGTAGATGGTAATGTGCTGGAAGCAGCTACTAGCTTCCAGGAGATCATATGCTCATATGACACTGACATTACTAACATACTATTCTTGGCTTCCCCCAGTTTTATCTCTACCTATTTATTTTATCTTTTAAAGAGTAAATTTAGCCTTGTGTATGCAAATATCACTCTATGCAAATGCCCGTCTTCTGCTTGGGTATCCATCCATATACCTCCAACCTAAGGCATCTAAAATTAAATGTATCATCTTGGGTATCTTGCATACAATGTGAGAACGTGTGCCCTACTCTCTATCCCTATTTTCTTTTTTTTTCTAAAGATTTATTTATTTATTTGTGAGAGAGAGAGAGTGCGTGCGCATGGGGGGAAGGGCAGAGGGTGGGAGAGAATCCTCAAACAGACTCCCCATTGAGCATGGAGCCCAACATGGGGCTTGATCCCAGGTCCTTGAGATCATGACCTGAGCCTAAATCAAGAAGTCAGATGCTTAACCAACTGAGACACCCAGGTGCCTGTTTCTGTCCCTATTTTCAATGATGCACTATTTTCCTAGATTTAAAACCACTGGTGGCATATCTCTATTTACTTAACCTTTGCACTATCTAATTTGACCAAGTCTCCTAGATTAGGTATTAATTTACCTCGGGTCATATGAAAACTTGGACATGACCGTCATATGCAAAAAAGACTCCTTAAGAGAAATCTGTATCAGCAACAGTTTTTCCTTGGCCGCTTCCTGTGGGTCGATGGGTTAGATAAAGATATGAAAGCATACTGGTCAAATGTGACTGGAAGAAACACTAAATGTGTAGAATAAGGTACTAGGAATAATGATTCAAGAAGCTGGAATAAATGAACTCCAATTAAACAAAAGACACTGATCAAATGCCCCATGCAGTCTTAGTAGGAGAGTGACCCGATGTGAGAGGGGCTGAAACCGTAACCCAGCAGAAACCCTAAAGTGCTAGGTGTGATAGCCAGAAGGAATGAGGTCGACAGTGAAAAACCGTGGCAATCCTCCAGTCCTCGGCAGGCTCTCCTGTAGCAGGATTAGAATTGTCAATGGTGAAAGGCTCTGGCAAGCAGAACCAGGTCCAGTAGATGACACAGGTGTATCATACAGGGTTCCACAGGGAAGCAGTGCCAGTTTGAGTGTGGGCTGAGGTATTTATTATAGGAATTAGACTTTACACAATTGTGGGAGGATCAGGGGAAAGAAAGGTCCAGAAAGGGGAGTTGAAGGATCAGAGAAGGAGTCATTCCTTTAAGAAATGAGTGAAGCACTGACCTAGGTGGGCAAGTCAGAGCTTGCAGGGAGATCTGAGAAGACCAGCCCATGGAACTGCTGAAGCAGGACTGTGAAGGGGGTGCTGGTGGACTGTCCTTGGGAAGCTGTTGCCTCTGGTGAGCTACAGAGGGTCTGTGACTGAGGACCTGGTCTTGGGACACTGTGGGTCAGTGGGGCTCACAACTGGGAAGGAAAACTAAATGTGGAGTAGAGGAGAGTGAGTTCAACTGGGACCTTCCAGGCTACTCTGCATCTCTCTGCCACCACATCGGACTGAAGACTTCACTCTGCCTCTCAAAATCTTGCCCAAGGTCCTCTTCTGGCAACTCTGACCCAGGATCCTAGGGGGAAGGGAATTCTGGGAAGTCCAATGGCCAAACTACCTCTGTTCACTGTGACATGCCCAGCACAAAAAGAGGCAGGATTTTGCTCAATAAAAGGAAGAAATACAGGGGTGATTTTAAGTCTGCCCAAGTGAGAGATAGCTCTAGAGATAGTGAAGGAATGCCCACATGGCAGGGATATTGTAGATGGATCCAAGCTCTGGGCATTTAGTTTGTCCAGAGGTTAAAAAGAACTTCTATATGCTGCCACCATCATATCTACCCACTTACGTCCATCTGAACCTGTGTACCCTACTTTTTGTTCCTTTGTCCCTTTCCATTTTCTGTGAACTGGTAGTTAGATTTAGAGATTGATCTAATTCAGTCAAGGTTATTATTATTTCTTTTTTTTTTTTTTAAAGATTTTATTTATTTATTTGACAGAGAGAGAGAGACAGCGAGACAGGGAACACAAGCAGGGGGAGTGGGAGAGGGAGAAGCAGGCCTCCCGCAGAGCAGGGAGCCAGATGCGGGGCTCGATCCCAGGACCCTGGGATCATGACCTGAGCCGAAGGCAGACGCTTAATGACTGAGCCACCCAGGTGCCCCTTATTATTTCTTTCTTAGGAAGACTAATTCCAAAGATCAGACTAGTAACTATTGTATCTCTTTTTGTGACGTCAGTGGCCACTGATGGTCATTCCTTCATCTGGAGAAAGCCAGACCTCTTACCTTCTTTGCTGTTGTCTTTTCTATGAACAGGAACTAAGCCTTCATGATCCTGGCCAGAATGGGTGTGGCCTAGAGACAAAGGATTATGTGCACATGTTCTTATGAGCATGTCTGTCTACGTAAATATGCATCCTCTCATACATATCCTTGTCAAGATGAGTTATTTCTGTGCTGTCGAGAAAGAAGGCCTAGGTGACCTTAATCAGCACCACTGGATGCTAGCCCGAGGAGGAAGAGGAGGATCTGCAGCGAGCGTGTATTGTAAACATTTACCCCCCCATAGACTAAGCATATTATCCCCGTATACTTTATTTTCATATGGAGTTTTTGTACTCTGCCTCCTGGGAGATAAAACCAAATCCTTCCATTTACACTTCCTAGTGTGGCGGGGAGGGGCAGCAGAGAGGGGAGACCGGGGAGCCACCACAGCCCTGCGAATTAAGGGACCAGGCATTGCTTTCACTGGCCCCAGTACCAGCCCAGCCTGGGGACCTAGGTGAAGCGTCTTTGAAGCTTTCACTTTATGGAAGTCCATAAATACAATTTGGTGCAGATCATACAGGACCCAACTAGTTTGGAAGTTAAATCACCTGTAATGTCTTCACAGAGATTTTCTTCCGCAGAGATGGAACAAACTCTTTTGCTGAGGTAGGGGAGCAGGTATTACAGAGTCTTAAACTGTTTACACTTTGGAACACGTTTTTATTACCTTCACAAGTTAAAAGGTACTTTTTTTTTTTCCTCGTTATTTCCTTTGGTTTTGGCATTATCCCCTGAAAGAAGCCTGGATTTTTCTGCTTTATGGTTTCTCCGAAACAAAACTTCTCAAAGCAGTTAGGGGATTGACATGTGATGTCAATGGGGTTTAAAGGAACTTAGAGGCATCTTGTAGGGGAACAGTGAAAGCCCCCAGAGGAAGGAAAGGTTCTGCTTAGAGATGTCTTAGCACACCAGAAACTCTCTGAACTTTTCATTGTGTTAGTTTGTACTTACGAAATTGTTCATTTTATATGTAAAAATGGTTAAGTGATAGCTACGTCATATGGTTCAACCTCTGTAATTTAAAGATATATTCGGCAACCATCTTTAGCATTAATGGATCCAAGCTCTTACCAGGGTGAAACTAAGAGGGAGTTACATAAAATTCTTACAGACAGATGAGGAAATGTACTCTACTGGAAAAGAAAATTAGAATATACTGATTTAAATCACAACCTGGGCGCCTGGCTGGCTTTAGTTAGAGGAGCATGGGACTCTTGATCTCAGGGTTGTGAGTTCAAGCCCCATGTTGGGTGTAGAGATTACTAAAAAATAAATAAATAAACTTAAAAAGAAATAAATCACAACCCTAAGATCTCCTAGAACTTAGTCCCTCACTGAGAGTGTTGCAAAGCAAACCTATTTCTTAAGTTTCTTAAGATATTAATTGGAAAATGATTTTGTCCTTTTGTGCATAAATGTGTGTTCCTGTAACTAAGAAGAGAATTAGATTTCATGGAGTGCCTTGAAAATGCTGAGGGAAGTAATAAGGTCAAGCCTGGCCCTTTGTCTGGTGGAGGTACCTACCATCCTGAGCCTTGGTAGGGGTCACCACTGAACAGATTTGGATATTTGATTTTATTATTTCATCCAGAGATGATGTGGCAGGAGCATATGAGTCTTACTTTTATAATTTTTAAGGGATGAGGCATTACTTTTTCACAGGCCAATTTATGAATTTACAATGCAAAATCTAACTTTTCGATGAATTGGATGTTTGGGTTAACTGCCAGTGTGTTCGCCTTTGAGGATGTGATTTAGAAACACGGTAAATATGGTTTGAGTAAGTTTCAATGGATTGTTTTAAAAGTCTATTTTCTTCCAGCTATGCTACTTTCTGAAATCATTTTTGTCCACTAAAAAGAAATACTTGCCAAGTAGGCAATCTATTTTAATTAGCCCTGAGCGACGTTTGAGAGGGCCACTCTCTTTGATGGACAGTGTCAGCAAAACACTACGACATTTCCTTTTTTCTCTTTTTCTCCCTCCTTTATATTTAAGATATGGTTCCTCTGCTTATTTCATAGCTTATCATTATTTCATTCCAATACACCTTACATGCTAT